ATACAGCCACGTTTGTACATCAAGGTTTGAGCCTCCTTCCTGCTGCCCAGGTGCCCGAGGGAGGGCAGCTCAGGAGTGCCTGGCCCTGGGCCCGGATTGGCTGCTGTGGGAGGTGGGGCGGCTGGGCCCTAGGCCAGACGCCACCCGGCCTCACCCCGCAGAGCCAGTTCTGGACTCGAGAGGCCAGTCCCTCCGCTGCCTGGGGCCTTGGAGTGGGTCCTGCCCGGAAACTTCCTTGAGCCTCTGCAGCCTGGGAAGGGCAGTCTGGCCTGACTGCCCAGGTCTTGCTAGCCCCTGCCTCTCAGAGGCCTTGTGTGGCGCCAGGCAGCTACCCCCTCCCTGGGGTGGCACCCGCTCTCTGCTCCCCACCAGGGACTGGCCCTTGCCCTCGAGTCTTGGAGTCAGGCAGGCTCTGGCCCAGCTCTGGGAACTGATTAGTAAGACGCTTCTGTGCCTGGAGGGGGGCTGGGTGCCAGACCTCGTGCACTGCCCCAGACCAGGGCGTGGTCCTTAGTCCTAAGCCTGGGAAGCCATTAGTGGACTCTAGGCTATTAAGGGGTTTTAAGCATCAAGGGATATAATCAGATTTGTGCTTCGAACGGGTTACACAGGCTGCTGTGTGGGCAGGAGGCAGCTGGGGACATGGGGAGGCCCAGGCCATTGGCTTGGACTTTGCGGGGAGGTGACAGGGCTGGAGAGAAGTGAGTGAGACAGGAGGGGAGGGCCGAGCTTCGTAGAACTGGGCGGCAGCTGGGAAGCCAGTGCCAGCCTGGGTTGCAGGGCAGGCTTTGCATCTGAGACACCCAGGCAATGCCAAGGGGGGGCAACCGGATTGTCAGCTCTCAAACCCGGAATCGCTGGCCCAGAGGTAGATGCCAGGCCTGAAAACACCAGGCTGGCCAGGGTAGACAAGATCAAGTTAGAAGTTGGCCCCAGGCCAAACACTGGTTAGGGCCCGTAACAGCCACACAGAAGAGGAGAATCCAGCAAGTGGGGGTGGCCGAGGCTGCAGGGCCAGTCGGAAGCCTGGAGCGCGAGAGATCAGTTAAGAGGCAGCTTCGAAACAGCCCTGGTGGGGGGCTAGGGGTGATGGCAGGAAGGTGGGGCCCTCAGACCCTGGCTGAAGCTGCTTTAGGGGATTATGGGGGTTGAAGACACGAGTGGGTTCGAGAAAGAACAGGAGACTGAAAACATAGCCAGGGAGTGTGGGACCCTGGCCAGCCTCGGAGGGGACAAGGCTCAACTTCTCTTTAAATTATTTTATTCAAGAAGTGGGGGAGGACAGACAAGGGGACTGAGCTGAGCCCTGAGTCCCTGAACCTCCCAGCTCAGCCCCCACAGCAGGACTGGACTCAAAGTCAGAGGGTGGAGACTCCAGCCCCACCCAGACACGGCTGGGGACAGACAGGACCCAGGAATACCGACTGACTGTCCTCCGGGGGGGCGGCGGCCACAGCACACAGGGCCCGGCCCGTGGACTGCCCGGGTGGGGCTATTTGGGGGTGCTGCCGCCCTTCTTGGGAGTGGTGGGTTTCTTGCCCTGCCAGAGGTGTCCCTGGATGGTGAAGGCATCGACGCTCATGGACATGGTCTTGGCGGGGATCTGGGTGAAGCGCTTGCGGTCCGAGTTGTACTTGTAGATGCCTTCCACCATGGCGGGCGTGACGGTCCGGGGCCCGTACCCCGCCAGCCGCGACAGCTCCTCCGTCTCCCCCGACAGCGTGTAGAGTGCCCGGAACTGGCAGCTCGAGTCGCGAAAGAGGATCAGGAAGTGGTTGGCCTTGCTTTTCTCGATTTCCTGGGCAGGAGTGCCGGAAATGGTCAGCCGGCCAAGCCAGGCCACCTACCCACCCGCCAGCCCCCAACTCCCACGTGTGGGCGGGCTCACCTCCAGAATGCGGTTCTTCTGCGGTTCGTTCACCTTGCCCGCCAGGCAGCAGTGTGACAGGGCGTTGTGGATGATGAACTTGTTAGACTTGGCGCTGGGCTCCTTGTACAGCCGTGGACCTAGAGAGTGAGGCGGGGGCGGCGGGGGACAGCAGGAATGAGCAGGGGCCATGGAGGAGGGCGCCTGTTGCTCCCCACATCACCCAGAGCCCCCGCTCACCTGTGTACTCGGGCACCGACGCTGGGGAGGAGGCATTGCTGCCATTTTCCCAGTCCCGTTCGCGGCTTCCAGGCAGGCGGCTTGGGGACATGAGACCCGACGGGGAGGGAGCCCTGCAGTGGGGGAAGGATGGGATGGAGGTGTGGTCAGAGATGGGAAGCTTCCCGAGGTGAAGAGGGGCCAAGGAAAAGAAGGGCCATGGCTGGGCATCGTGGCTCACGCCTATAATCCCAGCACTTTGGGAGGCCAAGGCGGGCAGATCAGTTGAGGTCAGGAGTTTGAGGCCAGCGTGGCCAACATGATGAGACCTCATCTCTACAGGCACAGGTAACCCCAGCTACTCGGGAGGCTGAGGCATGAGAATCGCTTGCACCCAGAAGGCGGAGGTTGCAGTGAGCCAAGATTGCATCACTGCACTCCAGCCTGGGCGACAGAGTGAGACTCCCTCTCAAAAAAACAAAAAATGAAAAGGTGGGCCCCACACACTGCAGAGGCGGCGGTATACACAAGTCCATGCAGTGCCCCATCCTGTCCTCCTCCCTCAGGAACACCCGGCACTCAGGTGCACCGAGGCACACGCTTGGGTCCTGTCTGCCAGGTACAGACTATCCCCCATGCACACGTGCCCACAGGCGTCCCTCCATCTCTTCATGGCATATCCATACTCTTGAGCCATACCGCCCTGTAGGTTCACCCAGATGTCTGCACACTTCCCAGGCTCTGAGAGGCCACCCAGCACATGACCACCCCACCCCCCACCGCCGTGCAGGCTGAACTCACCGAGACGTGGGCCTCTTCACCCCGAGGTTATTGTGGGCCTCGTTGGCCACAGTGGACAGTGACAGGGTGGACTGGGAATAGATTTTGCTCAGCCGAGAGCCTGGGGACAGAAAGTGCAGGTCAGTGCCCACCAGAAGCCCCCTGCCCTCCACAACACCCGGTCCAGCAGGCTTTGGGGGGAACACAGGAGGAGTCAGCCCTGCCCAAGACCCGTCGGCCCTCTGCAGCCCCCTATGGAGGGCCCCCTATGAGGGAGGATGCTCTGCCCAGCAGGTGGTGGGGAGCAGCACTGGGTCAGCCCCTACTGGCAACACCTCACCCCATATTCCCAAAGGTTATCCATTAAGCCACAGAAGAAAGACCCCTCACCCCACTGTACCCCACATCCCTATGGAAGTTTTTTTTTTTTTTTGAGACGGAGTCTCGCTCTGTCGCCCAGGCTGGAGTACAGTGGTGCAATCTTGGCTCACCGCAACCTCCACCTCCCAGGCTCAAGCAATTCTCCTGCCTCTGTCTCTCGAGTAGCTGGGACTATAGGCGTGCCACCATGCCCGGCTAATTTTTGTATTTTTAATAGAGATGGGGTTTCACCATGTTGGCCAGGCTGGTCTTGAACTCCTGACTTGTGAGCCACGTGCCTCAGCCTCCCAAAGTGCTGGGATTACAGGCATGAGCCACTGCGCCCAGCCCCCATGGAAGTCTTTACCCAAGAGACATCCAGAGGCCCCCTGTCACCCCACATACCCGTCCCCTCCCTGCACCCCTGCTTACATCTCCCTCCCCCTCCCCCCTTACTCACGGGGGCCTCACCCAGTGAGCCCTGGAAAGGGCACTGGGCAGGCCCCGTCCCTCAAGGGTCCTCACCCAGCAGGCCGCGGGCTGGGCTTCGTGCCAAGGCCGAGTCGTCACAGCAGCCAGAGCGAGGCCGGGGGGCCCTCCGCCCGCCCCGACCTGGGCCCCCGGACCCCGCAGCCCGGGGCCGCAGCACCTTATCGAGGTCGTCCATGAGCTTCAGCTGGGCCCGGCGCTCGTACTCCTGCCGTGTGAAGTCCCCCTTCCGGGGACCCACGTCCTCCTCGGCTGGAGCCCGGGCAGCAGGGGCTGGGGTCGCCATCGGGGCTACGGGGACTGCGGACACAGGCGGGGCTGGGCCGGGGGCCTCCTCTTGGGCCAGCCTGCAGATCACAGGGAATCGGCATCAGAACCACTCACGGGGTCCACGGTGGTAGACAGGCCAAGGAGCAGCCGACCTGGGCAGGCCCGGTCTCACCTCGCGGCCTCCTCCCTCCGCTGTTCCTTCTCCGCCTCCTGCCACTGCTTGCGCCGCCGCGCCTCCTCCACTCGCCGCTGCTGCCGCTCCAGCAGGCTGGCCCGCTTTTGGGCCATCTCATCCTCAGGCTTGTCTTCATCCTGGGGACAGATGCCGAGTCTAGCTAGCCACCCCCTCCCCCAGCATGGCTGGAGGCCCATCTTCCATCCACCCAGCCTGCCCGCCACCCACCTATGCTTTCGTTTTCATCACTGTTCTAAATACACTTAGTTGGTGCCTACTGTATGCACAGCCACACTAAGTACTGGGACACATACAGGGATGGGGTACACTGGGTGCTGCTCACATACGCAGTGCTTAACCCAACGGGGAAGACAAAGGCAGCAGACAGCAGTGAGTGCCAGCAAAAGCTCGTGTTGGGCAGACACACTACACTGCGGGAGGACCCTGGCCTGGGCTTTGGACACCCAGGAAGGCTTCCCGGAGGAACTACCCTGTAGAATGATCAGAACTTAACTAGGTAGGCATACAGGGGTATGGAGCAGCGCGTTCCAGGCAGAGGCGACGGCTAGTGCCGAGGCCCTGAGGCTGGAACAAACCTATTGAAGGGCACGGAAGTACAGGGGGGCCAGTGTGGCTGGGACACAGAGCTGAGGACA